TTTTGAACCCAAATTTACATAGCTGCAGTGGCTGAAGTTTTTATGTAGGATTTCTGCTTCTCTAAGAACTAATGCTTTCATAACCAGATGAGTCCATTCCACGTAGTTATGTTGTAGCAGTTTGCTGCAGACACAGAATTCTTCCTTTCCACAAGCACAAACTATTTGATCATGGGTGGGAAACAGGCAACCTTCACGTTTGGACTCAGATGCCTAACCATTGCATGATGAAAAAAATTGTCTTCTAACAATCGCATGATTTCTATTACGATAATCAAAATATAATATATTGATACAATATAAGCAGTTGGTTCTCACCCTTTTTATCTAAGGCACCTTCTTCAAATAAAAAAGTAATTTTACCCCCACTGTTCATGAAGTAATCATTACAAATCTGAAAAAAATTTAAAAGAAAAATAAGAATAGTCCTAAAAAGATTCAACCTGCAGATATTTAAAACCAAGACATGTGATATGAATATTTTTTAGTTTCAAAACAGAATTTTAAAATCTGTTAAAAATAATTAATCTAACTAGCATCAAAGACTACCAAAGTTTGAGTCTTCCTTTTTTATTTGTTGCGGTACAGTACATCAAAACTTAGTTGATGATTACCCAATAATTACTTTTTGTTTCAATATCAACCATCAGATTAACTAAATTCAACCCAAATTCATCTGAATATTAAAAATCTGTTTTCGCTCCAAACATAAAAACAACAACAAAATTAAATGACTCATCAAAACAGGATATTTCTAGCATTCAAAAGTAAGTCCCCACACACATGCCTGTTCATGGTAGAAAAGACAGTTTGATGTTCCTTTGGGTTAAGACCATCAACAATTTCATGCATTCGGTTCTTTAAGGCTTGGATCTCCTCCTCATTGAGAAAAATCTTCAATAACTGCATAGCCATCTTCCCAAAGCTGTTGATAATCACGAAAATAAAAAAAGTTTAGGATGTTTTTAATAGTAAAATACTATAAGTTTTTCTAAAAAATCTCTGGTCTTTTAGACAAAGACAAGTTTATGTTTATCAAAATAGTTCCCTTATTTTTTTACATTGTTCTCATATATATAATTCTAAATAACTGAAACAATACCATCTAAATTTTAAATAACGGAAACTACACCATCTACATTTTAAATAATGAAAAATATACCGTACCATATAGATTTTAAATAATGGAAACTATACCATCTAGATTTTAAATAATGGAAACTATACCATCTAGTCTAGATTTTAAATAACGGAAACAATACCATCAAGATTTTAAATAACGGAAACTATACAATCATCTAGATTTTAAAAGTAAATACTTTTAAAAAAATTTAATGTATTAGTTGAATAGTGTGGAATAGATATTTCTAAAAACATTATTTGAAAATATTGAGTACCATCTTTTCACTTGAAGGAGGGTACAGTTATTATCATAATGCACAGTTCAGTTTACACTCAAAAATCTTTATTTTATTGAATAAGCCTAAACAACATGCCTACAAATTTATGATAATACTACAGCTTTTTACAATTTCAAAGAGAATGATTAGAATAAGCATGGATACTTCCAAATATAGCCTATTATCACCTCGCCTATGCAAGGTAGCTAAGTTGCTTGAATGTACCTCTCACATTCAAAAATTGATTTTTGATTAGTCAAAAACTTTTAAACTTTTCTCGAAGTAGAGGTTTCAGCACCTATAGTTTCATTCTCTTTATCTCTCTATCTCTTGTTTTTTCAACCTGTTTATAAGCTATGGGTATATCGTTCTCCTTCTGAACTTAGTACAGGTACTTAGGCAAATCAAAATACATAATTTTATATGTAACGATGTCACGAACACAACCAGATGATGCTGAATTCACTAAATAAAATTCCAGATAACATAGCTGCACTAAATTAGATTATTTTTAAAAAATGCAAGTTCATTAGGGGCGTAATATTTTCATTTCTTTTACAGAAATTTCAAATAGACTAAATAGTCTCCCTTTAAATCTGTGTTATTAATAGAGTTCAGGGGTGTGAAAAGTGTGCAGTGATGAGAGGGGGGGGGAAACACTCATTGGGATCTGGTGCTATATACTGGCATATGTGCAACGGTTGGAGAGGCGATTGGGATTCTTAAGTGTGTGGTAGTAGTGTGTTACTTGAGTGCATGCTGCATGTTTTTTTAGGCAACTTTTGACTTTAGTAGATTGGAAGCTCACACATTCTGACACTGACAGCTATTGATTTTCATTGAAATTGTTTGGCCGGCTATAGCTATTAGTTCTTTAATTATAACAGGGCTCTATTAATAGCTGATTTTAAATTGATTTTCTTTAAAATTTAACTTTAATATTTAATGCATCAATTTTTTCAGTTAATCCTAGGCCTAGGTCATAGCCTTATCCATCAAAATCTACTTAAATCATATAAATAAGTAGGCCTATTTTAAAAAATGATGAAATTATAAAATTTCGGACAGAATGTTCTTTGCAGAATAAACAGATTGTCCTGCACTTCTAAAAAAATATACTATGCTGGATATGCCATGATAATGATATGCATGCATCATTTGCATGCACTCTTTCTATTACCACGTTTGATGAAGCATCAGTTCACACGACCAAATTCCTTTCAAATTCCTTTCAAATTAGTTTTAAATTTGTGTAAAATTTTTCTATGAACGCTGTATTTTGTGCGTGGTTTCTTTTTTTTTTGGACAAAAAGAGAATGTGATCAAGTAATACTAATAGTAGTGATTTGAAAGTAGTGACAAGGCTTCAAAAATCGCATCAAATTCAAAGTAATAATGATTGCAAATTTGAAAGGAATTTGATCCTGTGAACTGAGCCTATTGTTAATAAAAATCTAATAATTAGAAACTAAATAAATGTTGGTACCGGTATGCTGGCATCCGTCCGTCACAATGTGACGATGGAGTGGGCTTCGGACGACGAAATTCACATGGCCTGGGATTTTTCTTCAAGGATTATAAGCTGGCCCCCCACAGCAAATCGCCTCTCTCCACGCCGCTGGATAACCCAAGGGAACATCATGTCATAGGATGATACAGCTTGGCACCAGTGACGTCGCAGGAGTTGTACCAGTGTTATCTGCCTTTCGGGACTCCATCTCCGGGTTTGAATTCAGAGTTTGCTTCTCTTAGATGAGTTGCCATCCAAGGCTAACATCCACCCGGAGTGTGGTGGTGTTTTTTGCTTGACTGAGCTGTGGCTGGAATTGAACTCAAGACTTGATATTTGCTGAGTTTAGACCACTGGGCCACCCAGCACTCTGGTGCCGGTATAGGCTACACATTTACACACTGATTTGTAAAGGAGACGAAACAAGTGGTTATTGATTTTTTAAATTGGATTTATTTGAACTTTGGTCTGTACAGCTGAGCTATTTAAAAATAAGTCCATAAATGTTGACATGAAACGAATTTTCAGTGAAAATCAATCATGCCAGGAAGGAAATAATTACAATAAAGGACATAAAATATGTGAAATAAAACTATAGAACGAATGAAGATTTGAAGAAAAAAAATTGAAACCATTTATTTAAGTATACTATATTTGATCATTTTGATTTACGACTGATCGGCACTAATGTTCAACATACTTTACTGCAGGCAATTTTTTGGTGTTGTGCAAAACATTTTAATGGTGTGCACTGTCACTGTGCGGATGTCCATGACCATGCCATACCGTTAGACAAGAAAACGGGTTGCACATTTTAAAACTTTTTATTTGTTTACAAAACTAAGAATTAAAATAATACTCTACGATTTTTAGAACATTTTAAATATATTCAAACTATTTTCATTTTGTATTAGTATTAGGTCTACCACTGTCGTTTTCTCTATTTCGTATATGCACATCTTGTGTACGCTACTTCTGTATGCACGCAGCTTAAAATGAGCATTGGTTGTCACATATTTTATACTGCCCTAGGCTTGAAGTAAGACTAAGTCTCTCTTCGTCTTTTCTCTCTTTGTCTTTTCTTTTTTTTTCTCTCTCTCGCGTTCTCTCTCTCTCTCTCTCTCTCTCTCTCTCTCTCTCTCTCTCTCTCTCTCTCTCCTTAGCGCACTATAGGCCTAGTCTATGATACATGATAAGTTTTAAAATTTGAGTTGCCACAAATAAAATTAATTGCTTTCCTTGATGTGTACACATTTTGGCCGATATGCTTACATTACATAGAATAAATTACCCATACAAAAAAGTTTTTCGTATAAATTCTTTATTATTTTATACTAACATACTCATACATTTTTTTATTGCAATTATGTAGTTTTAAGTGATTTATCATATCATTTATGTGATTTTAGCAAATGAATCTTCATATAGGAATGGTTTTTATCAAACTTAGTGCATGTAAAACCTTAAAGACTAAATATATAAACACAAATACAAAGCACATAGCAACAGCTACACAACTAATCTCCACACCAAAACATGTACGCATTGAACTTGAACAAATCATAGTTTATTCATTTTCTCCTTGAAAAACGGGAAAAACAGATTTGCGAGGTTGGAGATAGGACTGGGGCTGAAAATTTGATATAATGTGTTGTCATCGGCAATGAGTCTATGTGCCAAGTTTCAGCTCGATGGGATGACGGGAAGTGGGTCATTTAGCCTTCCAAAGATTTTGTCACAAACACGAACAAAAGCGAAGTTAATATAAAAGTTTGTTTTTTTAAATTAAAAACAAGATTTTTCTTATAAATCCTTTATAAAATTTAATATCGAGCAATGGGGGTGGGGCTGAAAATTTGACAAAACATGCATTTAAGTCACAAATTTTTTAAGAATCCCAAGTAGTGCTCCTCCCACCTCCAAGGTTTGCAACCGCATATTTTTTCACGCCCCTTAACTATATGAATATTCTAATGTCCAACCCGCCCTTACACCCCAGATTTATTACACCAACCAAAATATCAACGTGTAAAGAACTGGAAAAAAGATTCGTCCATATTTCCGTTTGATCAAATTTCTGTCTATCAATTTTCCGTCTACAAAATTGCTTTCAAACAAATTTCGGGTAACCTCAGATTTTACAGGTCTTGGAAACAATTAGTGACAATCTGTCACTTGCTGAAATTTTGAAAAAAATGAATCGAAAATTGTATTCTTTAAGTTTGTACCTGGGATGGAGAAACTGCCCCGGAAGTATTTTATTTACTAAAAATCATGTGCAAGGAAAAAACTGGGGATTAGTAGTTAGGTAATGAGTTTATTACCTAGGTTTTTAAAAAAACAAACAATGAAAAATAAAATTGTTTACCTTAACTTGAATTTGGACAGTTTGAACAATTACTATACCGTGGGAAGTATGAACAATTAGTCTACTGTGGGCATAATGAACAATTAACCTAATGGTGACATGTTTTATAGCCATTAGATTAGCAAATCTTTTTTATTGCATTTTCTCTTTTGCTTCTATGGCGCCCACATTGCAATGATTTTACCTATTTTGAAGATCGTTGATGACACCCTAAGCACATGGCACCCCGGGTAACTGCCAGAATTGCCGGTACCTTGAGTCAGCCCTGGGGAAGAGGGGTGGGGATGGAAAGCCACACGTGGGCAAGTGTGGACAAGGGGGATGGGCTTGCATATCTTTTTGCAGTCGTTTATGAATGAACTTTTTATATGGTACAAGCATTTATATTCTTTTTATGAGTATGAATATTGCTTTTGGTCTGAGACTGAGGAAAAGTGGAAAAGATCTGGCCATACATTGGCAGATTAGACAATAAGCAAACCTATCGATTGACTGCTTTTTTAAATACAGAAATTTTTTTTTAATAAAAAATTCTTTTAAAACAAACTAAAATACACGAGAAACTAATTGGTACAGTACACAATAAAAAAATGTAAGAATAACCATTTCAATTAAAGTGTTTTAATGTATCAGTAAGGCAGTTTTTAATTTATTTCACTGGAAATAATTAATCACGCTAAAAAAGGGTTTACCTTCATTTTATTGTGCAAACATTAGTCTACACTCTAGTTTCTATAGTATTATAGTATTAGTAGTTGGTCTGAAACTGAAAAACATATTTAGATGATAAAAAAGGACGCCCGGTTTCACAAGTCAGTGTGGGTGTGAGTTGAAAGATGACCAGTAGTCGGTAGTAGAAAGATAACCAGTAGTCGGTAGTAAAATTTGACTCACTGTTGACTGGTTGGGTGTGAGTTGAAAGATAAACAGTAGTCGGTAGTAGAATTTGACTCACTGTTGACTGGTTGGGTGTGAGTTGAAAGATAACCAGTAGTCGGTCGGTAGTAGAATTTGACTCACTGTTGACTGGTTGGGTGTGAGTTGAAAGATAACCAGTAGTAGGTCGGTAGTAGAATTTGACTCACTGTCGACTGGTGAAAATTCACTTAAACCTAGCTCACTGATTTCATACTTTCCTAACACATGACAATATATATGATTCCTTGTTTACTATCCTCATAATATATATACTTTTATGGATCTCTGTATGCATTTTTCTATTAGTTTTGGGAAACATCAATTAAAAAAAAAAAAAATGGACGCTAAATTGACTGGGAGGAAGCCTAAAAATACATTTGTCTTGCTACATTTACAGAAAAATACAAATTAATTTTGCTGGTATCTTGGTACATAAAAGAATACATGCAGGAGAGAAACCCTACAAAAATGACATTGGTTCTGATACATTTACCCACAATACAAATTTAAGTAGACACAAAAAACAAAAAAATGGAAAGAAACCCTCTAAATGTGACATTTGTCCTGCTACATTTTCTGCTTAAATATCACAGCAAACTTAACACACAGTATATGAAATCATACAGGAAACAATCATCACCATCAGTAGAACCACAGCCCATGCAGGAAACAATCCCTTTAATTTAATTTCGTTTTACTGTATTTTTGACTGGAAATCAGATTTAAACAATGTGTGCTGCCAGTTACTCCCTGAATATTTTCTTAGCCTAAATTAAATTATGGCTCAGGACTCAGAAAAGTTTGAATACCCCTGGACCACTTCTGACAGTTCAAAATCATGAGGCTCAAAAAATGTGGCTTTTAAGTGAATTTAAACAATAATTTGTAAATAGATTCTATTCAGCCCATTTTAATGATAAAAATAAATGCTGAAGGTTCTTTTCAGGTTAATTTACAAGGATATAATTTAAAACAACAATCTATGCACATTTGGAGGGAGTAAATAATCAAAGTTATCTATGATATCGTCAGTCTTAAAAAAATATTAATTTTACATGACTTAGGTTTAATGTATATATTTTTTATCATTCAAATTTATTACCAGTACCAATGTTACCCCCCAGAAAAACTCGTTACAAGATCTTGGAATTCTTGCTATCAGATGGAGTTACCACCCCTTAGACGGAGTTCTTGTTCCTAGTTGCTCCTGCCTGGTGTTTGTTGGCAGGTAGTTAGCCACATAAATGTACATGTCATTCATACCCCGTGAGGATGACCTGCCCACTCCAATGTGAGTGCAGTCCTTCCAGTCCACTTGGTTCACGTGACCTGTTGCCATTGTAATTATAAGTGCTATGAGAATTATCACAAAACATTTTTTGTATGTACCTTACCGTTCTTTTTAAAAATTTAATTTACAGATTACTGGTATTTCATAGTTTTTATAATTTATAGCCCTGTGTTCTGTTTGCTATAGGAAGAGTCCAATACTATATGTACTTTACGCACTTGGTTAGTTGGTTAGGAGTGGAGCTAAACTCACTTAGGGGGGGGGGGGGCGGCAATAATATAAATATTTTTTTTTTAAAGTTTTTGGCATTGGGAGAGAATTTTATCTACAAATTTTGATGGGATCCATATCCATCTAATTAAATATACTAAAATACGTGAATCAAATTAAATTTTTTTGGGGGGGGGGGGGGCGGCAATAATATAAATATATTTTTTTTAAAGTTTTTGGCATTGGGAGAGAATTTTATCTACAAATTTTGATGGGATCCATATCCATCTAATTAAATATACTAAAATACGTGAATCAAATTAATACAGTATATACTTCTCATTGAATCTCATAAGATAATCAAACTTATAAAATATAATAACATTGTCTTTCTAATTGAATATTGTAATATAATCTATCTAATTTAATATTGGAACTGCAATAATTTGTTCATGCTCCCTATTGAAAATCTGATATGTTTTTAAATTTGTATTAAGGGCAGAATTTTTGTCAGTAGTCGCAATTCTACTTGAGATAATAATAATGCTGAAAACAGCAGAGTTAATCTCTAACCCAGGGTTATATACATCACATAAAATAATATGTTCGCTATCATTTTACCTATTCCGGTCTTGGCCATGAGATTAGCAGAGTTGTGCCCCATGATTTCACTGTACCACATGTCAACAAGTTCATTGCCTGAAATCAATGCAGCACAAGCAAACTGTGAGAAGGTTAACACAGTTGGGAGATTTTTTGGGGTTTAATTTTGGGTTCAGATAACATGCAGCAGTGCCTTATATGGGCAAACCCCTGCTTCAGATACAAACCCCTGCTTCATATTTTGACTCACAAGAATCTTGTTTCTGTAGCAACATCATGGGCCGTACCCATTTTTTTAATTTTTATTTTAAAATCAATGTCATAAATATTCCCAACTTCTGTTCCCAATAATAATTATTTACTATTAACTTTTTAAAACAAAATAATTTGAATGAAACCTTTTTATACATAGAATGTTATTAAACAATTGTTTTTAAACTAGATTCAAAAGAACTTTTTTTTCAAGACAAATTGTGTTTTTTAAAAACTATTGAAATTGTTATTTGTCTTTTACTTTTATACATGAATTATAATTAAATTAAAATTGAAAAGAATTACTGTTTAAGCTTACTTTACACATAAAATTATAGTGATTAACAACAACAAAAAATCAATTAGGTACATAACGTACTAAATAACCTCTTTACAGGCAAATATTAAACAAATTTTAACTAAACAAAAATTTTAACTCATGTACTAAAAATAAAATATTTACAGAATTATTACTGTTTATAAAATTAGATACTAATTTTAAATTTTTCACAGGATTCATTGGGATTATAACAAATGTTTTAATTGAGGTATTTTTCTTCTGTTATTATATTAAAATTATGTTTTGGATGATTGTTTGGTATTTTAAATCTGAAAAGTCTTTCAAATGTAATGTTTGTGTAGTCTAATTATGTTTCTGAAAAAAGCCTAAAGTCTGTAGTGCCATATATGTTTTCTGTATTGTGAGAGTAATATTAGACTTATTTTTTGTTGTTTCTTGTTTTTTGGATTCTGATATTGTGATCAGTGTTATTGATCTGGTCTATATCTTTGTGTGAACTGTACTTGCTTGTATGATTTGTCTAAGTGTAAATTTAGTCTGTAAGATTGTGTTGCATGTCAGATATACATGTTGTTCACTCTCATCAGCCCCTGATTTGCAGAGTAGACATTCTATTTGCCCCACTCTGTCCTTGTATGGTCTTGATGAGTGTCATGTTGTAAATGAGTCTGTATGTTATTTCTTTGGCTTGATTTTGTATTTCTTTTTTAAAAAAATATTTTAACTACTTGACTACTAGATGATAGTGAGTAACATCTGAGTTGCTCTGTCCATTGTTGTATAACAACTACAAATGACATGTCAAAAAGGGTGGAAATAAAATAATGAAACAATTGAATCTAAGTGTCATTTATGTTTGATATATATTTAATAGAATCATTATTTAATATAATAAGCAATTCAATGGAAATAAAACCAACAGCAAGCATGTTTTTTACCCATCCACTGAATGTTGTACCGGTAGTGATTATTTTATCAAAGTCAAACCAAGTTTATTTGACACCAAAGGAACATCACCACTAAATTTTGAATTATTTCCCTTTTTGTAAACACTATTACAGTTCTACTACAACTATTTACTAGTAATTCAAAAAATAGATATCCATACAGTTAAGTATACAACATAAGCTATTGATAAACTGGCCCAACCCCTGCTATAGTGGCACCAGCCACTCTCTATCAAACAGCTCCCCCAACCCCTGCTATAGTGGCACCCCCTCTATCAGACAGCTCCCCCAACCCATGCAATAGTGGCACCCCACCACTCTCTATCAGACAGCTCCCCTCAAGTCCTGCTACAGTGGCACCACTCGATCCTCTATCAGACAGCTCCCCTCAACCCCTGCTATTATGGCATCGCTCGACCCTCTATCAGACAGGTCCCCCCAACCCCTGCTATATTGGCACCACTCCACTCTCTGTCAGACAGGTCCCCCAAACACCTGCTATAGTGGCAACACTCCACTCTCTATCAGACAGCTCATCCCAACAACTCCTATATTGGCACCACACCACTCTCTGTTACACAGCCCCCCCCCCCCACCCCCCAACCCCTGCTATATTGGCACCACTCCCCTCCCTGTCAGACAGGTCCCCCAAACCCCTGCTATAGTGGCAACACTCCACTCTCTATCAGACAGCTCATCCCAACAACTCCTATATTGGCACCACACCACTCTCTGTTACACAGCCCCCCCCCCCACAACCCCTGCTATATTGGCACCACTCCACTCTCTATCTAACTGCCTTCCTATGTCAGTTTGACTGGCAACTCAACAATACTATATTAGCCAGCACCTGAGTAAACTTTCTTTTTTTCATCTGCCACTAGTATGATGTAGCTTATACTGATTAAGATTCTGTGGCCAGAATTACATTAAAAACTTCTGTTTCAGACATTCTCAAACCAAAAGTTATTATCAGTTCAGCATTCAATTAGTAAGCAAAAATCTATCAGTCCTCACCAGTGATGATGTCAGAGTGGCCAGCCAGATTTTCACCTGCACCAAATCTATGACTTTCAGGACTGTGTTCAAATACCTGCTTGTCTGCCAGATAGTCTGCCCATTTCTGGGCCATGGTATTCAAATCCGGACTGCAAAAGTCAATGCGAATATTTAAACTAAAATCAAAGCAGGCATGTGAAGGAACATCATTAATGAGATTGGTCAAGAGGTTACCTGAATACAAAATAATGTTTAATAAATATGAAAACTAACACAAAAACTCCAAGCTACTGTTTTTTATGGACCTATGATAATTATAAATTAGGATCAATATATTGGACTTATATACCCGGTATATATATAAAATTATATACTGGTACTGGTATTGGTATATAAATAAATTTAATAAAAAAGGCAACACAAATTGATTTATTTTTTTTAAATCTGATGTAGTTATTTGCAGTTTAAATGTTTGTTTTTTAATTTCAAAACCTTTCATTAGGCCATACAAGTAGCTATGAAAAAATGAGACAATGCTTAGTGCTTGCTTGTGGGATGTGTTTCAGCTTCCAAATAGAAAAAATGTGTTTTAAAATCCTCAAATATACACCATTCAAAAATGAAGTAGTTATTTTCAAGGCTTGTCCTAGCATTTGGGGAGCTCTATCAGAACTCTCTCAGTATGGTTGAAACATATCTGATAGTACCGGCAATTCATTAAATAATGGTAATATACTAAGAAAAGATAGTACATTTATTAAAGGTAAATACATTAAGTAATATAATATAATGTAAAGGTAAGACATCTGAAAGTTTGAACAAGAAGGATACCTCTATGTACTTATACCTCAGTTTTAAAGGTGGCGCTCCGTGCAGCTTCCTAAATTTATTATGGGCAGCCAGTGTTTCATTCCTCAGCGTGATCAGTGATTTACTTCCCTTTGGAAGGCTCTGTCATTGTAAATTTTAATAGTTGGTAATAAATCAGAATATTTCTTTGATTAAATAAATATAAAATTCGTCTAACTTTAATAATGAACATAAAATAAGAGTCACTTAAATCTAATAATCTATATCAAAGTCATCTAAAACTAATAATGAGTACATCGGTAGCATTCATTAAAATTTAATAGTGAATATTAGAACCGGGTAATCTAATCTAATTACCATATCAAAGTCAACTTAAGCTAATAAGGAATAACAAGTCAACTTAATCTTATCATGAATATTAGAGTCATCTAAATCTAATAATGAATATAAAAGCCATCTAAATCTAGGATAAATATAGTCTATTAAATCAATCTAATTCATCTAAATTCATAATAAAATCATCGGAAGAATGAATATGAAATGAACAGCGGTTGAATAATGCTATGGTGTCTACTCACCTCACACTTTGCATACACAATATGAAGATTCAAGGGTGTCAATGAGCCAAATGAGAACAGTTTAATGACAGAACTCACAGTACAGGTAGCATTTTTTTTTTTTACAACACTGAAGAAACCAAGGGGTGTTCATCTGAGTTGGTGCTCTATCTTGGCAAAAGAGTTCATGAATACTTACATCTATAATTTATCTACATACACAAACAAGGGAGACGATACTCACTTCCACTATTGTTGCACGTTCTTTTGGCTTGGTCTGCTGACAGAAAACATGATCTCCCCTTACACTTAAGTGTAGCATTACCATATTAAGTAAAGAACGTTCATGATAAAACAGTGAATGGTAACACCGCTCACTGCCCCCACCCAGTGAATGGTAACACCGCTCACTGCCCCCACCCAGTGAATGGTAACACCGCTCACTGCCCCCGCCCAGTGAATGGTAACACCACTCACTGCCCCCACCCAGTGAATGGTAACAGTACTCACTGCCTCCACCCAGTGAATGGTAACACCACTCACTGCCCCCACCCAGTGAATGGTAACACCACTCACACCCCCCACCCAGTGAATGGTAACACCACTCACTGTCCCCACCCAGTGAATGGTAACAGCACTCACTACCCCCCACTCAGTGAATGGTAACACCACTCCCTGCCCCCACTCAGTGAATGGTAACACCACTCACTGCCCCCACTCAGTGAATGGTAACACCACTCACTGCCCCCACCCAGTGAATGGTAACACCACTCACTGCCCCCACCCAGTGAATGGTAACACCACTCACTGCCCCCACCCAGTGAATGGTAACACCACTCACTGTCCCCACCCAGTGAATGGTGACAGCACTCACTGTCCCCACCCTACTAAATAAATGGCAATGATCGTTAAAACATTACTTACTGAGCACTATATATGTGTGTACCGGCAATAATATTAGTCTAGTATATAATCTTTTGGGTTAGCATAAGTGTGAAAATACATTTGTGTGGCATTAGTTAGAAAATACTGGTTCCGTGAAATACGCGCACATGACAAACGCGCACACGATAATCGCGCGCAGAAAATTCCGCAAAGACATAGCTGCGCACAGGAAAACTGCGCACACCGACAGTTGCGCACACAGAAAATTGCGTACAGCGACTAAAGCGTACACGGAAAATTGCGCACACGGACAATTGCGAACCTTGACAATAGCGAACACATACAAATGCGCACCATGTGAATTTACACGGCCTTTTACATTTAATATGTAATTGTAAATTCATTAAAGAGTTTAAAAAGTTGTTGGTCATCAGCGTAAAAGAATAGTCGTCAAATATACGTGGCTAGAATTAGAAAGAATCATTTTAAATAAAGAAGAAATACTGATTTTTAAAACTATACTCAAAGCATTTAAAAAAATATTTCGCTATTTAAGTTTTTTTGTTTAAACTATTTTTAAAATCAATTTTTATCATACTGTCTCCCTGATTCGTAGATTTTTATTCTTCCCAACTTGCCTTTTGTGCTGATAGGCAACTGATCTGAACCATGTTAAATCTAAAAATGTGGCTTAAAAGAAAATGTCATTGAAATGTGCGCATTTGTGAGTGTTCGCTATTGTCAACGTTCGCAATTGTCCGTGTGCGGAATTTTCTGTGTCCGCATTTGTCGGTGTGCGCTTTTTTCTGTGTGCGCAACTGTCGGTGTGCGCAGTTATCCTGTGCGCAACTATGTATGTGCGGATTTTTCTGTGCGCGTTTATCGTGTGCGCGTTTATCGTGTGCGCATATTTCGGTAAGAAATGACATCTGTGTGACATTAGTAAAAAATCACATATATGTGGCATTAGTAAGAAATTACATCTGTGACATTAGTAAGAAGTTACATCTATGTGCTTTTAATACAGCGGTTTTCAACCTGTGGGTTGCGACCCCTTTGGGGGTCAAACGACCCTTACACAGGGCTCGCCTAAGACAATCGGAAAACACATATTTATGACGTAGAATTGAAAATAATATTATGGCCGGGGTCTCCACATCACGAGGAACTGTATTATAGGGTCACGGCATTAGCAAGGTTGAGAACCGCTGCTTTAGTACAAAAAAAAAAAAAAAACTACACATTTTGCCTTACTTAAAAAAAAATGCTATGAATTGGCGCCAATAGTTTGAGAAGCTTTCAACTGGGTGGTTTCTGGTTGTTTGAATTGGCGCCAATAGTTTGAGATGCTTTTTGGTTGTTTGAATCAACAAGTGGTGATGACTTGCCAGGAGGATCTACATAGTCAGCGTGGGCCCTTAAACGTAATATGGAGGAGGGGCGAGGAGGGGGGGAGGAGGAGGGTGTCATTTTTATTGACTCCAACTCTGTAAACAAGTGTCAACTTACTGAGCTACATCCCATCTTTCCCCAGACTGTCACTGTCACTGACTGTCACAGATGTGTGCTGGTGTAGTAAAGCTCCGTCTCGTCACCATACGAACCTCACAGAGCCTTGACCTGCCTAGAGCCTTGACCTGTCTCAAAGGTTACACCTTGACCTGCCTCTAGCCTTGACCTGCCTCACAGTTTGACCTGTCCTAATGACTGACCTGCCTCACAGTTTGACCTGTCCTAATGACTGACCTGCCTCACAGTTTGACCAGTCCTAATAACTGACCTTCCCTTACAGGTTGACTTGTCCTAACGATTGACCTTCCCTCACAGATTGCCCTTCCTAACAAAGTGATACAATGTGAACACCGGGGACTGCGATCAAGGCGTGTGACGTCAACAACTCCCCGGTACCCGGAAGTGATGGAACAAGAATGGTTTAGGCTTGAAACATGTTTTTATATCATTTACTTGAATGTAGAAGTGTCGGTAGTTTTTTGTATCGTCTGCTAAACAAGGCGTCGTGCCGATACGTGCGTTTATTTTTTTAATATCTTTTCAATTTCAGGCCTGGAAACATCTTGTCTCGCAGATCGATCTGTCCTACAGTTTGACCTGCCTCACATATTGACCTGTCCCACAGTTTGACCTGCCTCACAGTTTGATCAGTTAATCCGTCCAAACATGTGCAACTCAGTAACCCTAGAAATACTCTCCAACTCCAAGCCATTTAATTAAACAAACAAAAATCGATTTAAATTATGTACGAATAGGCGCCACTTTTAATCTTTATGAACTAAACTAAGACTATCTCCATCTTTGCCCGATTGGCATTTACAACATGAAAACTCAAAAGTGGTTTTGGTTTCTGACGTCAAATTCTCACTTCTGAATATGAAAGCTTGTTGGATTATTTTGTTTTCCCTATTAATAATTTTTTTTTTTTTTAAAATCAAACTAAGAATATGTCACAATGCGAAGCTCACTTTCGAGAATATCTTCACCACAACAATAAATGCACAATACTCTCTAGCTGTCACTAGTCGTATCATGCACTCCTGACTATATGCACACAACCGTAACTTCTTCTTATAGAGTCTGTTCCGTGATTGTTCGCATGTACATTCCTCTTCGAGTGTTACCTACACGGGGGG